CATAATCAATTGCTTCCTATATTTCTCACTGGCACTGACTCCAGTCCATGACCCAGAGGCAACCTGAGGTCTGAAATAGTCAAGTCATAGTCCCTTGGGCGTGTGACCATTGGCATTGCCTGTCGCAACTCCACACACACTAGGACTGGCACTGCTTGTGAGATATGCTGTAAATATGCAGTATTTGAGTATTTTTGGGGAAGAACTTGAGGAACTGCTACTTATACCAGCTTTGTAATGGTGAAGTTGTCCTTGTCCCCAGAAGACCATGCCTGGGCTCTGTAAGATGAGCTGGGGATTCTGTAATTTGAGAAAAAAGCCACTCACATCCCCAAATCAAACCACTAGCATATGTAGAAGGCACTATTGTCCCAATAGGTTGATTCAAAAGTGTTTCATGTCTTATGGAGTCATAACCTCTCTACTGGTGGCTCATGGAGAAGATCTGAGCAGCAGAGGCTGCCACCTGGATTGTGTGGGTAGGACACCCCACCTGGATATGATGGGTGCAGCTCACTGCTGCCCCACATTCACTCTGGAGGGGAAGAATGCAGGCAATGCAGCCTCTGAACTGCTGTGGCTGACTGTACTTTCCATCAGGCCAGGCCTGAACCCTGGGAGTCTGCCTGTGATCCCCCAGCCATGCCACGCTCAGTCCTGTCTGCTGGGATGTCTGGGCATGTGCCCAGCACAATGGGCCATTATCATGCAGACTGAAGACATGTGATTCCAGCCAAAAGCTGGTCTGGGGAAACTAAAGAGGTCTCTGCTCTTGTGCTGGAACTTGGAGCACCCAAGGGTAGGATGTATCTAGTCTTGCCAACAGAATTCTTCCTTTCTTAGGGTCTGGTACAATCCAAGTGATGGTGGACATAATGATCTCAGACAAGATGACATGACCTGGTTTTGTTGTGCAGAGTTCTGGCTCCATGACCTGATTGCTGATCTTAGGCCCGACTCCATCACTCCCAGATTGTTGGCCAGAGAGAGAACATGAACTGGTTCTGAGAAGGACACCTCAGAGGTACTGCTTAACGCAAGAGTGTTCCCTACCTTCTTCCTCTCTCACTCCCACTTGCCCATCCCACTAAGAATGGCTTTTCCCAGTGTGATCTTTGCATCTTAAGATTTAAAATTGGGAATTGGGTGGTGAGAGAAAAGATAGGAAGACTCAGGACAGTTAAGCTGGGAATCAGGGCCAAGGAGAGAGAAAGTTCTCTTCTGGTGAGCAGAGTCTGAAGTTGAGTGTTCAAAGTTGGAGTGTATGTGAACACTGCAGGGTGCTGAGACTGGCTTTTGGGAAGAGTTCCTGTAGCTCAATATCTGGACCCCTTTAATGAAACCTAAGAGACATAGGATTGGAATTTCGATATCATTATTATTTGACAGCTAACTGCACTTTTTTCTTTTTTTTAAATGTGTGACTTATAGAGAGACTGGTCCAGTTTGAGGACAGAATGGGTGGGTGATGCACTTTCTGCTTTCATTCCATCTGAGCTGGGTGTCTCCCTATGGACTATATTTTCTAAAATTTTCTCTATGCTTCCACGCAAAGCGCCAGATTTGCAGTATATACTGTAGCTTACGTCCACCTTGGCTTCAAAGCTTCATGTGTCAATGATACCGTGTTGTACACTTGAGATTTGCTAAGAGGGCAGGTCTTCAGTGTTCTCAACACACACACACACACACACACACACACACAGTCTCTGTGAGGTGATAGATATGTGAATTAGCTTGTTTGTGGTGATTATTTCACAATGCATACTTATATCAGGTCCTCAAGTTGTATATCTTAAATATATACAATTTTAAATTGTTAATTATACCTCAGTAAAACTGAGGGAGAAAAGCTTTCCATATCATAGGAAAGCCTGCAGGTCACCTCATGGATTTCTGTAAGATCTGTCAGCATGTGTGGTGATTATTTATGATTCTATCTCTCCAAATAGTCTCTGATCATCTTGATGGTAGGGCCACCTTGTCCTTTGCTTATTCTCCAGGGGGAGTCTGGGGATTGCCCAGTAAGAGGAAAAATATTAGTTTTCATAGCAAATATTGGTTCATTTGCAAATCTTCTCCTCGACTTGGCTCTCCTCATCATGTGCAAAAGGATATGGGGAAAGAGAGGCCTCTACTTCCTCAAAAGAAAATGCAGATGCCCTATTCATAGCCTGTACTGGGTTGAATAGTGCTACCCCCAAATTATACTCACTTGGAAGTTCAGAATGTGACCTTGTTTGGAAACAGGGTCTTTGTAGATGCAATTAGTTGAGCTGAGGTCATACTGGATTAGGGTCAGCCCTAAAGCCAAAGACTGGTGTTCTTATAAGAAGGCCATCTGAAGACAGAGAGACACATACAGACAAGTAAGAAGAGCATGTGAAGGCAGAGGCAGAGGTTGAAGCAATGCGGCTGTAAGCCAAGGAATGCCAGTGATTGCCAGTAACTACCAGAAGCTAGGAAGAGACAGAAAAGAACGTCTAGAGACAGTCTTTTCTAGAAACTTCAGAGGCAATATGACCCTGCCAATACTATGATTTTGGACTTCTAGCCTCTAGAACTGTGAGAGAGTAAATTTCTGTTGTTTTAAACCACTCAGTTTGTGATAATTTGTTTTGGCAGACCCAGGAAACCAATGCGTAGCCAAAACTTTAAATGTCCAAGTTTGATTCTGGAAAAAGAATGGTACAGTAACGTGGTGGTGCTGGGGGACTGGGTTTGATTCTGTCCCTGAGATCTGCTTTCCCTTTGTATGTGTGGATGCCTGTTCAGATTCCTACTGCCACCACCGTACTGGCTTCATAGTGTGTGTAAGTTAGGGATCAAGGATGCTGCTCACCTTCAATGCCTTTCCCCAAGGGTGGCACATTCCTTCCCTTTACGTACTGGAATCCAGCTAATGCAATGCCAGAATGTTTAAGCCAGAAGATACAATGCCAAGCATGTTACATACATAAACCCATGCATGCCTCATTTAATCCTAAAATGACTATATGATGAGGTAACAGTAAGAGTTCTCAGTATTATTCAGATTTCTCAGTTTTCAGTGACAGACATTAACTCTGGACATTTTTAAGCTTAAGAGGAATGTACTAGAAAGATATCTGGGCCTCATAGAACAGGCTTGAAATATGGCAATAAATGAAGGAGCCCTGAAGGGCCAGGCTGCTGGATCATGGTCCTGAAATAGTCTGCTGCACTAGGACGGCTCGGTTCTCCAATGGCACCCGTGTAGTGATGTCATTCACTCAAGTCCAGCTCCTGGGGACAGACATCTGATTTTCTGAGCCTAAATCATAGACCTTCCCCATGGCTGCCCTTGGATATGGGGAGCAAAGATTGGCACCTTTAGCTTCCTCAGAGGAGGTGGCCCTGGCCACCACTTCTAAGGTTACACTCATGGAGCCACAAGGTAAATACATAATGGTTTTTATGTGTGATAATTCAGTAATTTCAGATGACTTCACATGTGGGTTTTCAGCAAGAATAACTTTGAACGCTCCAGTCTTATCTAAGCTGCGCTGCAGGAAATCAAAGACAGTGTCATATGTCCCTTCTTGCACCTCATTGTCCAGGGTAGAGCAGAACCTCACCCCAGGCTGGTGCAATCATGGCCGTAGGAACCACAAGCAAAAGGTAGGAATGTTTAGCCTTTTCCTGGGTTGTGGACCCTTTTGAAATGTGGTGAAAGAATATGTGCTTCCCCTTCACCTGGTTTTCTCTTTTTATGTTTTGTTTTTATGTTAACTCCATTGCACTTATTTTACTTTGTGAGCTTTTGCACCACCTCTCCCTTTCTTTCGGCTAGGCAGTGGGTTTAAATTAGCAAATATGGGTAGCTCAACACCACAGAACCTCTCTGGACAGAACCAAAAGGACCCACTAAAATATAAATGCCCTGAGAGGCTAGCCCCATGAGCTAGTGCTGATTTCTGAGTTTTATTTTTTGCTGGAATGTTGAAGATTAGAGGTGTCGAGGAGTCCGAGCAGGCAGGTCTTCTGGGAGAATGGAGCCCTGCTTAGCATTCCAGTGCAGATATTCAGATGTGTTTCCTTCAGGCACATCCTTGCAGGAGGGAAACCCTGAAGCTCAGCTGCTGTTATTCCCAGCGCCCCCACCCCTGAGCAGATAAGGGCAAAGGCCTTGAAGAGTTGTGACCTCTGCACCTGGGTGGGGACACTGGAGGGCTGGTGAGAAAGTGCTGCTGGAACAATGTCGCCCTGCAGACAGCTGGAAGTGTTGTGTGGGTATGTATGGCCCACTGCTTCCGCTGTAGTGGTGAAAGTAGCTATGTTTGGTATGTGGAATCTTAGGGCAGCACTGGTTTTGAAGGGTCAGAACCACTGAGTCACAGATATAACTTAGCATTATGGCTTTAAGCCATAGGAAGCGTTTTGAGGGGCTTGCTGTTCCATGGACCTCATTGGATTCTTGACTCCTCATTGGACTACAACCTACAATCAAAACTTCCAGCTAGATTCCTATTCTTAGTAATGGAGAGGTGGTACAGCTTAACAGGAAAGACACTGGATCAAGACTATCTGGATTTAAACCCAGTGCTAACTAAATCTTACTGGTTGTATGACCTTTGAAAAGTTTCTTCATCTGCAAAACAGGAGAAATAATAGATTTTGTTGTGAGGATTAGTGAGTTAACATATGTAATCCACTTACAACTGTGACTGGCACATGGTAAGCTATTATCATTAGGCTCAGGATATGTCATATCCTTGGACTGGTGGTCACGTATTACTCAATTGAATTTGAATTTGAAATAGGAATTAGTGATTGGAGACAGGAGGACAGAAAAAAGAATAGGAGATGCATTTTGTTGCAGTGCCTTTTTGCAAAATACTTCTGGGATTTTGCCAGTAAATTGGTCAGAAGCTGGCCCCAGTTTGCTACCCATGGCTCATTAACTATCCTTACACACAGATCGAGGATTTCGTCCTTTTAGCCATTGACGTATCCTTTTAATTGGACCCATGAGGTGAGGGTCAGGGTAGTAGGGCTTGGGGGGGCTTATTTATCTTCATTTCTTTGCAACAAGACATTACGTTGTGACAGTATGCCACCCATTGCCACCCCGGTTTACAACCGAAAAAACATCTGCCCTTAATTGCCTTGCAAGTACGAATTTCTACTCCATCAACTCCAAACAAACAATGCCCTGAAGGAAAAAGAAAACACGGAAAAGAAAAATCAGTCTTTAAGAGGCTGGCAGAAATCGTAGACCTCTTCTTTCTTCCTGGTGGATGGCTTATTATTTTGTGATTTACTTTCTGTACCCTATCCTCTTACCTCCTATCACATTTCAGCGATGGCTGCCCATCTAAGACTGACTAGTGGAAGTTGAGGGGAAATAGGAATTTGGATAGCTGAACAGTGATAAGCGTGTCATGAAATTGGCTTCCCCCTCTCTGAATTTGGCAGACCTTCAGGATGTAGCAACAGATGAGCAGGGCGGGGGCTGATGACCCACATCCCATCCTAGCCTGCTGGTCCATCTGATATTGATGTCCCCCTCTTGGGCTTATACTCATAGGGTTTTTAAGTGCCTCAGTCCTTGGAAGACTCCCACTTTCATGATCAGACCTGTACTCATCATCTTACCTGAAGGCAGTGAGATCACCAGGAGGAAGAATAACCCAGAGAGACAGAGCCTCATCGCTGAGGAGGGCACAGAGCTGGAACTCCCTGGGGGTGGCTGCCTTTATAGAGCTGGGTGTGGCTGGGTGGGGCTGGACACTGGTCTCATTCTACCTGGAAGGGCACCTTCATGATTAGAGGTAAAATAGTCCCTGGGCTATTCCATGCTACTTCCTCTTCTACAAATCATGGGAGAAGAAGGGATTCAGTCAAGGAAGAACAGGAGCAGAGACCAGGCATCCGCCCAGGCCAGAACACTTTCCCTATAACTTCAAATGTATACTGATAGAAAAATGGCAGGGAACACATCGGCTTCATTTCTCTTTTCCTCTGGAGCCCCACTGAGAACACAGGAGCCCAGGGAAGTGATGTTATAAAACACATGCTTAATTTAAGGCCAGAAAGGATGTGAGGAAGAACTTGGAGCGTTCCAAGAAGCAAAAGATCTCATAGTGTCAGCTATTGGGGTGAGCAAGAGTTGCAGGTGCTCAGACATTGTGGAGGAGGGGCAGCCTTCTCTTCAGGTGGCAGATTTATTCACCTGGCTGGAGGCAGATGCTATAGGGAATCTTTCCCCCAGAAAACTTCACTGAGGGGCTTCGCTTTCCAACTATGAAATGTTTCCTGGTATGAAAAGTTGGCTAGGATTTGGGAACTTTGAGGATTCTGGGACAGATTCGCTTTTTAGGGTGAGTGGGTTGGAACTCTCTCCTGGTCTCTCACAGGAAGAGCCAGTTCAGTGCTGTGTTCAAGGTTGGGTGCCCAGTGTTAGGAATGGAGCAGGACAACACTTCCCTGGAGCTATAGGGACGCAGCTCTGGGGAAGGGTCATTAGGTCTGTTTCCCCTGGAGTGGTGGTGGAAGATCAAGAGTGGAGAAGAGACTAACTTTGGTGTTATTCTTGCCCCTTGAGGCAGGATTGTACCCAAGTGGCCCACGGCCGTACGATGCTGAGTCTGTGAAGTGGCAGCAGAGCATAGTTTTATTGGTTATGCTCCATTTTGCATTCACATGCCCTTGGATAAATTATTTAGCATCTTTGAGCTTCAGCTTCCTCTTCTCAAAAAAGTGCATTGTAAGAGGGCCTTTTGAGGATGAAATAAGATAAAGCTTACAAAATGCATTGCACTCCTTCTGTTATAGATTTTGTTCTTCCTCTCCTCCTCCTCCTCCTCCTCCTCCTCCTCCTTCTTCTTCCTCTTCCCACCCTCCCTCCCCTTCCTTCCTGTCTCTTCCTTCTCCGTAATTATTGAATTCCACCACTATAGCTGTGTTTCTTTCTCTTTTACAGACTGTCTCCAAGAGACTTCATGTAATGAATGCAAAACATTGCTGGGAGGGTTTTATTCTGTATCCCAACAATGGTCATTGAAAGCACTGCTGTAGGTTGGAATGGGAGTAGGGGAGAGATAGTGAGCCTGTGGACTAGAAGTAGGTAGGTCAGTGCTAGATCAGGGCTGAAGATTCCCTTGCATGACCCATGGAAGCCTCCCCGGAGACCCTGCACTGGACATACAATTCATAGTACCATAGACCCAGAACAGGCTCAGTGATACCACTTCATTCTTTCAGAGATGGAGAAATCAAGGCTTGGAGTGGTGAATGGGATTGCACAAAGGAAAGAAGCAAGCTATGGGCTGTGTTGTTATTAAATATTCAGCTCTCTTGATTTTTGGTTGGGAACTCTGTCTTTCTCTGTATATTTTAAGCTGTTCAAAGATGCATCAGGGAATATGAGAAGTATGAACTAAACATCTAAGTGTTTCCGAGACCCTCTTATACACAACTCTGGAAAAGTAGATCTAAAAGGCATTTGGAGATCAGTATGTGTTCAGGATGGACTCTTTCCATTCCTCCCACACATGTCCTGATTAAATCACCCTCCCAACCTTTGGGCAGGGGCTTCTCCTAACTGTGCTGAGTGTTCCTACCTCCCACCTGAGGTCTTGTTGGGCAAACTTCATAGGGATACACAAACAACTTCATTCTTTCCCTGTTAGCATTGCTCAGTGGCTGCTTTCTTCCTTTATCTTAGTTTCCCAGAATTTTCATGCTCTCCTTATCATGTCTACCTTCTAGAAAAACACATCCACTACACATCCTATGCTCCACTAATGAATTGCCCTGTTGAAGGAACATGTCTCCTTTTCAGCTGCCTCGTTGATCAGTCAGATAGTTCCTGAGTGCACTGTTGATTTCTCCCCATGTGCAAGTTTATTTTCCCCCATGGCTCTTATTCTTAAACTTTTAAAATAAATCATTGATAAAAGATGAAATTCAATACACATAAAGAAAAATAAGCAAATTGCTGAGCATATGGCAATCACTGGGTAACCATCCCTCTGATCAAGAAAACAGACCTTTTCCAGCACCATAGGAGGTCCCAGTGTACCAGTAGGTCACCACAGCCATTCCCTCCCCGGTAAGAGAACCACCGCTCTGACCTGGATAGTCATCACTTTCTTGCTTCAATTTATGGCTTTAAGTGCAACACTGAACATGCTAGTTTAATTGGCCTGTTTTTGATCTATCTGTAAATATCAGCACAGTTGTATTGTGGCTGGCTTTGTTCTTTATTATGTTTCTGAGATTTATTTGTGTTTCTCTGTGCAGCATTAGTTAGTTTTAATCTCAGTATGTTGACTACTTAATATATTTACCACTGTTGACAGTATTTGGGCTGTTTCCAGTGATTACAAAGAGTGCTGCTGTGGGCCTTCTTGTATTAATATTCTGCACACACAGGCTTGCTTTCTGGAGGATACATACCTTGGAGTGAAATTAGTAAGTCATGAGGCATGCATAACTTCAGTTTGTCTAAATGCCAAACTGTTTACCAAAGTACATTTTACTAATTTATATACCTACCAGCGATGTATAAGAATTTTGGTTACTCCACATCCTAAGCACTGCTTGGTATTGTCAGACATCTACACTTCAGATAAGTTGTTAGTTATCTAGTGGTACTTCACTGCAGATTAATTTGATTTTCCTTATTGCAAATAAGGTGGGGTATCTTTTCATATGTTTGTTGGTCATTTGGATTTCCTCTTTTGATAAGTATCTATTCCAGTCATTTGCTCATTTTTTTTATGTTGGTCTGTCCATTAAAAATAATTTGTAGATATTCTGCACATTTTCCTTATACAAGCCCTTAGTCCATCATATGTGCAGCAAATAATATTCTCCCATACTATGTTTTGCCATTTCACTTTCTTAATGGTGTCTGTGATGGTCCCCAATGATGTCCACATCCTAATGCCTGGAATCTGTGACTATGTTACTTTATATGGCAAAAGGGAGTTTGCAGATGTGATTAAATTAAGGATCTTGAGTTGAGGAGATTGGCTTGGATGATCTGAGTGAGCCCAATGGAATCACAAGGGTCTTTATAGGAGAAAGGCAGGAGGATCAGAGTCAGAAAAAGAGATGTGATGATGGGAGAAGAAGTGAGAGAGAGAAAGAGAGAGGAGTGGAGAGAGGATAGGAGGGGAGGAGTCGAGAGGAGAGAAAGAGAGGTTTATTTTAGGGGGATGCTGAGTCTTAGAGATGATACTAATATTATAGTTCTTAGATATCAATTTATTTTGCCTATCTGTATAGCAAAGATTCAAGGGAGAGAATACGCTATATGTATAGTCCCTGTCTTTAACAAACTTACAGTCTACTTGAGGATCTAAGACACACACACTAAATAGACCACCAGAATAGAGCAGAAAAGTCTGTGGAATTAATGACTGCCAGAGTGGAAAGGGATCTTAGTGATGATCTTTCCTCTTTCTTTAGATGACAAAACTGAGGATCGGAACAGTCATGTGATTTACTTAGCACAATGCAGTTACTAGATTAACTCCGAAACCTTTGCTATAGTAACTGACTTATTTATTTATCTAGTCATCAAATAATTATTGAGTGTATACCATGTGACCCACACTGTCACGCACTGGAGATACAAAGATGAATAGCCTATAGACCTTCCCTTCAAGAAGCTTGTTTTCTCAAAAACACAGACATGTAAGCAGTGACAACATCATGTGGAAGCAAGGAATCGGGGGCATGAACTCAAATGGAGGAGTGTGAGAAAGCTTCCCAGAATAGGTGACACTGTGCTGAGTCTTGAATGTTCTGTAGGATTTAGCTAAGAAAATAAGGGAGTGGGAGGGGTAGAAGAGCACAGAGTAGGGTAACAGTGTGTGCAAGGCACAGAAATGAGAAAAAACATGGCATATATGGTGAATTTCAAGTGATTTTCAATGACTGAAATTTAGGCTGTGAGTTTGAGGTTCATAGAAATCATGATAGAGATGTGAGCATGGGGTAGATCATTTAATCCTGTGGCTCTGATAGCAGCTTGGAGAACGGTCGTAGGGGAGAAAGTATGGAGTTAGTCCAGTTTAAACATACTGTGGTAATCTAGCCAGAAGATTAAAAAAATCTAGAAGTGGGGCAAGGAGTAAATGTCTAACCAAATGACAATAATAAAAATGGTATATATTTATAGTATACAATATGGTGTTTTGATATGCATATACACTGGGAAATGATTACCACAATCAAGCTAATTAACCTATCCATCACCTCATATAGTTATCATTTTTTTAATTTATTGAAATATGTTTGACATACAACATTTTGTGAATTTAGGGTGTACAGCATGTTAATTTGATACATTCATATATTGCAATGCAATTGCCATTGTGGTAATAATTAGCATCTCTATTCCATTGCATAATTATTGTTTCTTTTTAGTGACAAATAATTAAGTTCTAGTCTCGCAGCAAGTTTAATGACTATAATACAATATTGTTGTCTATGTTCACTATAATTTGCATTAGATCTCTAGGACTTATTTCTTACTGTTGCAAGTTTTCACACTTCCACAACATCCATTCATCAGTGATATTGGACTGTAATTTCCCTTTTTTGTGTTGTCCTTGTCTGGTTTTGGTATCAGAATAATGTTGACTTCATAGAATGAGTTAGGAAGCTTCCCCTCCTCTTCAAGTTTTTGGAAGAGTT